ATTTGGAATGAGTTTATTTAACGTATAGATCCATTGTCGGAGAAATGGATATATACGTATGATCTATTATACATGTATGGATCCCTCCAATCCATAAGTATGGTATATTTCTTCATTTATGTGACTTCTTTAATATCATTCAATTAAAGTTAATTTTTCTCCGTAACATCTTATCTATCTTGTGTGAGATTTTACTTCACTGAATGTATTATATTTCATTACAAATGCCATTTGTAAGACATTATGCTTTTGCATTATTTGTTTTTCGGCAATACAATTAATTTTTGTGAATTGTTCTTTTATCAATTGATCTTTATCAAGCTAAAAATATTTTCTCATTAGGCCTGAAAACGTGCCCCTGGCCTTTATTCTAGACAAGATATAAATCATTATTATTATTTCCGATGAGGACGGCTTCTCTTTTTTCCTGGCTGAGCCTGCAGCACCGCCCAGGCAGGCAGTGAGGACCACGCTCCTGTGCAGATGGGGTCAGGGGCTCTCACCAGAGGCTGCTTCCTGTTTGCTCCCTTCACTGTGTCCAAGTGCCTGTTCCTTTTGGGAGAGGAAGAACTTCAGCTCCTCTTGCCCGTAGTCATTTCTGAGGAACGTAGACAACTGCAGCCGAAGGAGGAGACATGAAGAACATTTTTTCGGCAATGCCCTGACAGGTGTCCTGTGGAAGTCACTTTTCACCCTGGGACTGAGTCTTCGATCCCATGTGCCCAGCCCCTTCACCCCGCAAGGTGTCTGGTCAGAGAAACAACAGCAAAACCCAAGCCCACTGCCATCAAGCCAATCCCAACTCACACCAGCCTATGGGCCAGAGTACTCCCTCGGGGGGTTGGTAAGGGAGCAAGCAGCCTCCTCTTCCCTGAAAGGTGGCCGGTGAGTCTGAATCACCAAGCTTGTTGTTAGCAGCACCCCCTTTAACTCCCAGTGTTATCAGAGCTCCAGTGGATTTATTTGCCCCTTCCACCGGCCCCTCCTGCTGTGGCTCTTCCCTGCCTAGCTGTCCTGATTTGGGACAAACGTTCCTTCTACCGGGGTACTGGTAGAAGTAAGGCCAGAATGCCCCTTAGAGGCAAGGATGGTGAGGCTTCATCTTCCGTACTTTGGACATGTTGTCAAGAGAGACCAGCCCTGGAGAAAGGCGCCGTGCTTGGTAGAGGAGGGGTGGCAGGAAGGAAGAGGGCCCTTGATGAGATGGGGTGACGGCTTGGCTGCAACACTGGGCTCAGGCAGAGGAACACTTGTGAGGATGGTGCAGGGCGGGGCTGTGGGTGGATCACTGTACCTCCGGTCACTGTGATCGGAATGCACTCGATAGTACCTAGCAACCCACCAGGTCTCTCCGGGCTTCCGACTTGCTCGGCTGCACGGCCCCAGCCCAGGTGGCTCCTGTCTAAGACGGGGACACAGTGCTTTGTGCTTGCTCGCCTTCTCAGACTGCCAGCTCCTTGAGGACAGGAGAGGCTTGTCATCCTCTTGGGACCCCAGAGCCCTGCCTGTGCAGCAGCACCCACAGCTGAGTCTTCACTTGGAGCTGTAGCCGTGGGCCCAACGATGCATGAGGAGCTGCGCCGGGGCCCAGGACCTTTCTCCTGATGTGGTACTCTGCCCAGTCTGGTCACAGGCAGACTCCAGGGAGACATTGCAGCAAGCCATGTCTGGGGATGTCTCATTCCCTAGGTATGTCCACACTCTACTTCGGTCTGAGGAAGGAGCCCTGCTGGCATAGTGAGTTACATGCGGGGCTGTGAACTGCGTGGTCAGCAGTTCAAAACCACCAGTGAGCAAGCGAGCGAGCCAGCAAGAGAGAGAGAATGCGCTGGAGGAGGCTTCCTGTGCTCACCCATAGATACACGCTCAGAACCCCCTGCGGTAGCTGTCCTCTGCCCTCCAGGGTCTCTACAAGTCAGGGTGGACCTGGGGGTGGTGAGTTTTGGCTGTAGCCTCTTCAGTGTGCAGGAACGTTGTGGAACAAATTTAAAATATCGCGAGAACAGCCAAAACCAGGCACAGACACACAACGTGAGCTCATGGTCTTAGTCAGATGGGGCCCACAGACCAGATTCACAAAGAGCCACTACACAAGTTCAAGTAGAACCGCATGCTAAGGTGACGTGCATTAGGCTGCCTACAGGCCACTCCCCACATCAGCCAGTGCTGTGGGGGAAGACGTGCCAGTCCCGATGGGTGGTCGCTCAGAGCAGCACAGGGTGAGGGAGCCCCTGGGTTCTGGTTGGCGAAGGGCAGGCAGGCAGGCAGAACAAGGGCCCTGCCTCTTAGCACCCTCCAGGACCTTGCTTCTCAGTCGGCAACTGAAGGGAGTTCAAACCCATGCCATGCTGGCCACTGGCTGGTTCGCAGAGCGGCTCTGAAATGAAGCGCTTCCTGCCAGTGGGAGGTGTGTCCCTGTGGCCAGACATGCCTGGAAGACCGGCTTTCTGAGCTGCAGGCACTGGCTCTCTGTAGAGCGAGAGGTCCTGGCGCAGAGCTGGCATGCCGCTGGTGGCCCTCGCTTGATGAACGAGGGGGAGTCCAGTCCCTGGAGGGCTGTATGCCCCCAGATTGGCTACGGCTCATAAGACTGCAGTGAGGTTTGCAGGTGCACCGGATGGATTCATTGGCTTAGCTCCCGAGGCTGCGGGTTCCCTGCTGCTGTTGTTAGTGTTGTCCTGTGGGCTCGGGTCCCGCATGAGCCCATTGTTGCAGCCACTGTGCGGTCCTTCTCCTCAAGGGCCTTCCCTGCTTCCCCAAGCCTGGTGTCCTTCTTCAGGGACAGGGCTCTCCGTTGAGCTCACTGCCAGGAAGCCGGTGCTGACTCATCATTGTCCTACAGGACAGCTTGAGACTCACTCTTTATGGGTGTAGGAAGCCCCAGCCTTGTCCCTCAGAGCGGCTGGTGGTTTCAAACTGCTGATCTTTCGGGTTGTAGCCCAATGCGTAACCACTACGCCATAGGCACCCAAAATAAATGGTGTCTGTCACAATCTGGGTGAATCTGCCCAGGGTCAGAGGGAAGGCATCGGACCAGGTGAAGTGTCCTACTGCTGTGCATGGGGCCATCCTGACTCGAGGGACAGGAGGGGTCAGATGGGGTCGGGTCAGGTCAAGTCGGGTGCACTGGCCGAGTCCTGGGTCCCACTCTTGTGGGCACTGTGACAAAGGGAGGAGCCCTCACAGCCACTGGACGGACGCCCGAGAGCTTCCGACTGTGCCACAGCTGATGGTGGGAGAGAGAAAGGCGTTGGACCCAATCCGATGAGCAGAGCTTTAATTAGGTGGGGGCAATGCAGGGGACTGGATGTAAATGACAATTAGCTCACTGTCAGATCTGTGTTGGGAAGTCATGGAATGATCAGTGACGTGCTGGAGGCCACGAGCCTGGGCAGCAGGGCCAGACAGCCCCCCCGCCCCCATCCCTGTCGTGCAGAAACAGCATGACCCCGTAGCAACCCACCCCCGGCCTCCTTCTTGCCTAACACTGTCTTCAGAGCCCTGTGTCCAAGCAGGGACAGCCTCAGCGTGTGTGAGGTGACACTGTCTGGGACAGTTCCTTTCCAGAAGGTGGGCGTCTGTTCCGAAATGCTTGGCACTCTAGATCCCCGTGTGTTTTAACCATTGAAGGAATTCTCGTCCTGGTCCAAATCGCCCTCTCTTTGACCGATGGGAGCCTATTCCAGTTGGCCTGCCCTCGTTCTCCCTGGTAGCTGACCTGTCTCTGTTCCGAACTCACTTGTGCATCAGCTCCTCCTGCAGGAAGCCCTGATTCATCTTGATGGGCAGTGGTACCCAGTGGTCTCACTTGGGACTGGGCTTGGTCCTTGCTTTGTGGTGTCCTCAGTGGACATCTCAGGACACAGGTGCACGTCGTGAAACAATCCAACCTTGAGTCCTTCAGGATGTTCCTGATTGGTGCCCAGTGCAGAGCTGTTAGTCAACCACATGTGTCTGCCTGGGAGAAAGACGGGGCTTACTACTCCTGTCAAGAGACCCGGGGGGCAGGGCTACCCTACCTGACCCGTAGGGTTGCTATGCAAGGGAGTCGACTGGATGTCCGTGGGGGGGTCATAGATCTGAAAGCTCTGGTTCTGCCTTACTTTCCTCGAGCTCCTGTGGCAGGAATCCCACACGTGGCCAGTCCAGCAAACTCCATTCTCTCACAGGTGAGGAGGCTGTACGCCTGAACTCGGGGCACCAGCCTCAGGAGGAGGCTTGGCCCTTGCTTCCCTTCAACATCAGTGGGTCCAGTATTCCTGGGGGCTCTCCTTGGGTCTTGGAACTCTGACTTCTCTTGGTCTAGATGGTTCTCAGCGCAGAGATGCTGGGTCTGAAGGCCCCCCACCCTTCACTCTTGGCTCTTGTTTCTTGGTGGTTCTGAGGTCCCTCTCTGAGGTAGGACGAAAGGTGTTACAGGTCACACCTCAGGAAACCTCCCCTGGCATTGGACCTTGGAGGTGACTGAGTAACCCCCTTATACCTGATTGGGTGATCACCTCAGATGACATCATGGGGTGACTGCATCATCGCACAACTGCTGCACCCTGAGGGTCCTGGCCCAGCCAAGCTAACACACCTGTGGCAGACACAATTCAATCCATAATGGTACCTAACTGAAGGTCAGCAGTCGAACACCACCACCCCACCCCACCCCCCCGTGGGGCCTTGCAAGATAAGGGATCACACAGTGGGCCCCCAGAGGCGAGGCTCAGGGAGCACAGCTCCTACGGGAAGGAGCCGGTGGGGGAAGCAACCCCTCTCCCGGCCTCAGCCAGACACCTGGCTGTTCCTTGGTTTGCTCCCGTCTTTATCTCCAGGATGCCTGGCCTTGCTTTCAGGAAGGGCTCGCTCCCCTTTCTGTCTAGACAAGGAGGGCTCCGGGCTGAGGCAAGGCAGGGCGGGGCTGCCAGGGGACCCCGGAGGCATGTCACTCCTTACCCGCCTGGCAGGTGAAGGTGCGTTTGCCTCCTGACATGCTGTCCCCACTCTCCCCACAGAGGACAAGGTGTGGACCATCGTGTCCCACGACCTGCAGATGCAGACAACGGTGGTCGGCCACACGCCTGAGCGGTTCTCTGTGACCCGGCTGGTGTACAGCGCCTCGCTGGACCAGATCAACGCCATCACCAGCAGCGCCGAGTACTGCGAGCAGCATGTGTCCTACGTCTGCAGGATGTCGCGGCTGCTCAACACCCCAGGTAGGCGAGATCGAGCCGTGTGCCACGCGCCATGTGCAATGGCAGTTGCAGCTGGGGCCTGCATGACCATGCCCATGACCAGGACAGCCCTACCAGGTGCACACGCAGGCTCTGTGTCCCAGGCCCCCCAGGCCCACCTGCAGATGGTTGCAAATAAGCAAAGCCTGGTAATGAGCTTGTTTTGCGAGGAGGAAGTCTGGAAGATTCAGCCAGCAGCTGTCTGGCTCTCAGCATCTCCAGGTTTCGTGCTCATGCAGAGGTGGGGGACGGAGGAGGGGGGGGGCGTGTGTGTGTGTGTGTGTGTGTGTGTGTGTGTGTGTGTGTGTTTGTTGGACTCCGTAGACATGGGTTTGAGTGTTTTGAGCATGAGGTGGGTGGCCGTGGAGTTGACTGTGGTAGGTTCTATATTCCCCGTGGGGGGCCTCTGGCGAAAACTCGATTTTGCTGCCGGCATGAAGGCGTCCTGTGGGGATTTGAGATGCCAGGCCCTGGTGTAGGAGAAGATAGGGATGAATCTGAGGGCTTTTCTGGCCCATTGAAACAAGATGACAGATAATTACCTGCTTCTCTAACTAAAGGCACGTCTCCAGATTGCATTTCTAATCCGCTGATAGGTCGGTTTCTGAATGCTGCAAAATGCATTGCCGTCTCGTTCTCTGAGTCAGTTTCCGTGATCCAGCCTCTGTCTGCCAGGAGAGCTGATCTGGGGGGCAGCTGATGTAGAGGATGGGGCGGTGGCGGACAGACCCAAGCTTCCTGGAGCCTTGTGTTTGGTGCCACCAAAATAAGAAGCCACACAATTTGATTAAAAGTCTTTAATCTGCAGCGTTAAAAGCTCGTGTTTGCTGTGATTGGTGTGTGTGTGTGTTTGTGTGTGTGTTAATGCTCCATTCCAAATATCCATTTCCTCAAGCGTAACTAAGACTGAGTTATACGGGGCCTTCTGTAGTGGTACTGGTGGCATCTGTCTGAATACAATTAAAACCAGTATTAAATGATTCTATAATAGTTGTGTGCTTCTATTGAACGGGTGAGAGCCTCGCCCTCAAGAGCTCGTTTGGGGATATCTGGTTTCTAATATTCCTTCTGGGCATGGATTTTGTGTGCGTGGAGAACTTGTTTTAATTTGATTGATGTTTGGGTGTGCTGTGCCAATAACTAAGAAATGTGGGATTTCACACCGCCGACTCCTCTCAACTTCTACATGGATCAGCCAGGCCATTGTCAGCAAGCAAGCATGCTCTCTCTGTCTCCCTCTGTCTCTCTCTCTTTCTCTCTCTCTCTGCTATGAAAGGCAATCAATTTCAAGGTCTGAAAACTGTGGTTTTGTCAGTCTGTTCTGGAAACGTACCTATCGAGTCTTCCATACTTGGCCTTATCAAAAGCATAGAAACTAAGAAAAGTGGCCTTATCCCAGATGGGAGCACCAGTGGAGAGTAAGGCACGCCCACTTGAAAATGAGAGAACTCGTTCTACCTAACAGTCAAGACCTGCCTCTCATGGCTGCCCCACACCGTGGCAGGCCAGCTTGCTCTGAGCCTCTACCGTCAACATGCAAATGATCGGCCACGTGCAGACTTCTAGAAGGTAGGCACCACGACACAGGGGACCCCGCGTTTGAAATGAACGCCTCGAGAAGTTGGTCTGAGAAAGCATCATTAGAGTCACTAGGGTAAGATCCCCATCAACAACTGGGTGCTTTGGACGGCCAGTGCCTCTCCCTATGTGGACAAAACCCATTAGCTTGCTTTTGAAATGCACATTCGCATGTCTTAAGTGGCCTGCCATCGTATACTATTGTATAAATCATATTGTACTTGCTATCTGGTAATTTTCCGTGGCGGTATTTACCCCTACATTTATAAAGATTTATTTAATTGTAGGCTATGAAATCGATTCTCTCTGTGTTTCTGACTCTATTTAGTGTGGTTGTTGGCTTCCAGATTCTCATTTGTTTTAATTTCTCGATGTAGCCTAATTCTCCTAAGTCACTGTTTTATTGTTTCTCTTGTTGAAGGAGCAATATGAATTATCTGTCCTTCTGGGTAACTGACTATTAGATTTTGTATCTATTGAAAAGGAGTTATGTTCACAATCTTGGGCTTCAAAGTAAGCTGTGTAAAATTCAATATACTTTGATGACACTAAGCTGTGATTTAGGGGCATCCTGAAGAAAGGAAGCGGGGCCTGGGCTGGGTAACAGATAACCCGTTTTCAGCCCGCCTGTCTGAACTTGGGGGCAGTTTTCCAAAGATTGAATTCTGAGTGTGTGCTATACATGACAGGAAGCTGTGACCTTTAACTCTTGGAATGACATATAAAAAAGCAAAAGAGAAAAAAACTGCCTCATTGCAACTGAAGATGAACATTTTCAGTAAATGAGATTTATCGGGAGTGGTCAGTATATTAATCAAAAGCTTAATCATGGGATCTAATTAATCATTGTATTCCATCGCTGTCTGAGAACTGGAGGGTAAATTTAATTGGACAAGCCCGAGAGAGAGCAATAGCGAAAAGGGAGAAATTAGAAAATCAAGTCTGGTGAGCTCTGGCAGGCAGGGAGGCGGGTCACGCCATGCTCCTGGGGGCTCTCTCGGGAGCTCTGATGCAGCAGCTCAGGGGTCCCATCAGCTGGTGTTGGTGTGGCTAGCGCTATTGAGTTGGGGCCAAGCTAAGCAGTGGCACACACACCCTGGCTCCCCTTCTGGGGCTCTGATGTCCTGAGCTCAGTGGCTGGACTCCAGGGTGCTAGGAGGGCAGTGTTGTGGGAGGGACAACTATTGACCCCACCATGTGGCCTCCAGGCAGTGGAAGGGGCAGCAAGGAGCGGCGGGCGGCGGGAGAGGGG